TGATAGTATTGTGTAAGTCTTTTTCTGTTGGATTAGTATAATTTTAAAAAGGAAAGCAGTCAAATAGTAAAAGCAGTTGGATCTTACCATTTTTCATTTTCAGCGTTCAGTGGTAAATACCAAATTTTCAGAACAGAGAAAAAAGTTGTGTCATTAACATACAAAGACATCTTATTACTCCAATGTCAGCATAATGCATTTTCCTTATTCCTATCCCCTGCTCCGATTAAACTTTGTCTTTTGAATGCAGTCCTCAGAAGATGGCATGGAGAATTCCCCCATGCTTGCACTATTGTGGCAATAAATACTAGAAAATTGGTCCCTGGGAGTTACTTGAGCATCTCTGTGTCCAGCCTGGACCTCTTTTGGAGGGTTCTTGGGGCAAGAGCTTCACTTCTCACAGAAGGAGCTACCTGGGAAGAGCTGGTGCAAAAGGCTGGGAGCGGGGAGGAATACAGGGTGTTTGCTACCCCTAATGACTGTGATCGCCCTTTTGGGAAAAATGAAAGGACTTTTATTGGGTTTTGTCTTTGATTCTAAAATATCCATCTCTGTAGTTAAAACTGTCCATAATTCATGCTAATGAGTAGTTGTTTTGTGGTCTCACTAAGCCAAGACCAATAAAGAGTGGACTATAGGCACTTTATTGGTGATTCCATCACCTCTCTGCATAACTTTTGCATATATACTTACATGTATTGTAAAGGAAAATGTGTGAAATCTTATGATGTAAAAAAGACAGAGAAATGTAATGATTAGGTAATGGGATAAGTGCTTGTTCTGAAGCAAGTCTGAAAAATCACTGCATGTGGAGATATCATGCCAAGTCTCCCAAAAAGAGTGGATTTAGGATAGTAATTAACTGCTGGTTGCATAAGAATTACAAGATCACAAAACAAATTACTGTTATTAGCAGAAGTATTTGTTCTCACATCAAGCTGTCATCCCACTTTGCTGTTTAACCTGATTCTGCCATGTAGAAAAAAATTGTCAGATACTTTTAAGTGTGAGTTTGTGATTTAGTTCTATAATTTTTTTTCACTGTAATTGTCTCCTAAAATTGGAATCATTTTTCAACCCCACCCATTTTAAATCAAACCTACAAAAACAAGGGAACTTAAAAGACTAAAGGGCTTTTCTTTGAAGATGCTTTATGAATAAATGCTGGATCTGAAACTGTAGGATCTGAGGGAGAATATTACTGGATATAAATGTGTTAGCCAATGCAGAGCTGACTTATAACAGCTTGTCGCTGCAGTTCTGTGGGATAAAGCCCAGTAAATACCCTTGGATTTACACCTCTCCTCTGCTTTTAAAACAGCGAGTTTGGAGGGAGTTGTAAAATGGTGTGGCTTAAGGATCCCAGGCATGAAATAGCCCTTTTGATTGCAGCTTAAGTGTGATCTGCATGTACGGCACTTAATAACAACTAATTGTGGGTTCATGTGCTGAATACCACAACGGAAACAATAAGAAGGTTACTTGGTGTATAACTGGCACTTATTCTAGATGCTTATTAGTTGATAACTTTCTTGCACTCTTGAGCAATGTCAAAGATTGGATGTAGCCTGACATCCTAAAGTCATGCGGTTTTAAACAATGTATTGGTCTTCTGATAACACTTTTTTATTGAATTGTGATAGATCAGGACATCCTTCAAACAGGCGGTTGTAGCTGTAGAAAAAAGTAAAAGTCTGAAAAAAATAAAGCTACATAGCTCTGAAGAGGAGGAGAGAGGATATCTACTTGTCTTACCTGGTCCTCTTTGTTTCAGTAGGTCACCCTCATGCTGTAACATCACAGTTGACTCACAGCCAAAATTAAACAGCCTTAGCCTTAAAGGCATCGGAAGCATGAAGTGGCTTTGGGGAATAGGGTAATTCAAGTATGAATAATTCTGTGGAAAAAACACCTTTCTTTAGCTTACAGGTCCACAGACAATGTGTGTTTAAAAACACTTCCAGAATGTTTTTTATTTAAAAAGAAGCCTAAAATGTGTAACACTTTTCAGTGAAGAAGCACTAAAGTAAAAATTCTATCATGGGCTAAAGATCAGAAATTCAAATACCAGTATTTTCCAGAAGTCAATGATACGTGCTTTGTCAGTGAAACACAGATAATTCTTAATCCCAGTCAGCTTTTATAATTAAATCTTCTTGGATATCAAAAAGTATTGTATGTCCGTGTACTTCAGAGATACTTTTCACTCCCAGCCTCTCCAGAGCTGATGTTAGCAGTAATTTTGTGGTGGGTTTTGTTTTGGGTTTTTTTTTGGGGGGGGGGTTATTGTTGTTGGGGACTTGGTTTGATTTGTGTTGCAGGGTTTGGGGTTTGATTTTTGTTTTGTTTTTAATGAAGCAGTAGCTTTTGCCAAGCTTACGAGGTGAGCATCGATAAGAAAGGGGTTAGCCGCATAGCATTCAAGCCTATGGATGAATCATAAGCAGAAATATTTTTGTTCCTCTATCAGGCAGTTTAGGCTTCTAGCCTGAAAGCCAGCTAGGTGGCCAAAAGGCAAGCAATGGCTTTTTACTTCCTTCTGGTCCGTGAGCTTGAGTAGCTGTTCAGAGTTGTGGTGGTGCCTTTGTCTCTCTACTACCTGACTGCGGTTTCTGTGGAACTGTGACCTTTCTGAAAAGCTGATTGCTTTTTAAATAAAGCTGAGTATCCCTGTGGAGATGTGGATGTTGTGGGGGAGAGAGGGCGAGAGAATCGCTGCTTTCCCCTCACCATGAGCAAGGGCCAGAAGACTCCATTCGCACGTCTTTGCAGCAGTGCGAATAACTAAGTGCATGCTCCACTCTGGCAGGCTGCCCCACCGTGGAAAATTGCTCAGACATTGGAGATCAAACCCAGAACCACTGTTGCAGGAATAGGTGTGGTGGACTTGAGCTGAACCAAGCAGAGAGGGTTGATGTACCTTAGGGTATCTTGCCTGGCCCTCTGCTGCCAGTTTAGGATGACATAGATCTTCCAGGAGTCCTGTGCCTTAGCTGCCAGTCCCATATGAATATCTTAGGTGTCCAAGAGCATCTCAGATAGCGCTAGCTGACCAGTTCTAGGCAAGTGAAGCAGGTCTTCCAGTCCTTGTGTAATGGGGAGGAGGATATGGTGCGGTTTAAAGCACTGCTCTGTCTACTGCAGTTTGTAATAATAATGTGCTGGGCCCTGTCTAATGAACCTGGCTCTTGACAACTTTGTGCAGAATTGGGCAGGGTGGGAATTTAAGGTAAGGATTTTTTTCATGCAACATAAAGTCATCTCACAAGTTCACAAACTGATTTTATGGAATAATGAAGAATGAAACTTGAATGGCCATCATAACATTGAAATAAAACAAAACTTCAAAACTTAAGACTGTTGACAACTTCTCTCAGAGCTTACTTATCTCATTGCCCATGGCTGCGTTCAAAGGCTTCTCAGCTGGTGGTGGCTACTCAAGAGTTTCCTTTATACGAGTTCATAGGAGAGGATCTGTCTCTGCCCTACCTTCAGCAGGTGACAGTCATTTAGCCTTGCCCAACTGCATGTCCCAGTTCAAGACTATTTGTCAGTCGGGCTTCTGTATGGGGTCAGCATAGTAATGGTGGCAGTGGTGACACAGCAGCACAAAGTATTCTCAGCTGATCAGCCCTCTAAATTCAAAAATCACGAGTGTGATTTTTCCCTTACAGCATTTTATTATCTTCATTTATTGCATAACACTGTTGCTGATCAGTTATCATCTTCTGTTTTCTATCCGTCATGCATTCCTTAATTGCTTAATTACTTTGCCGGTGTATTTGGCACATGTTCATTCTCCAATAATAAAGTAGTATTGTGCATTGAGTTCATGCATGAGATGTGTAGCTTTGAGTGATTCCCACTTGGCACTTTGTCATTATGTGATGCTCTTTTTGTGGGTGATATATCTTCCTAGAGATCTCTCTGTCAGTTGTAATTAATTAACCACTAATACATGTTAGCTCCTGTCCCAGGTATTGCCTACATGTTACACTGCTATGTAGTCAAGCCTACTAGGCTTAGCTTTGATTTAACAACTGTACTAAGTCTACTTTAGGGGTCACAGTTTCTTCAGTTAGCAGGGTAGGTTAACTTCACAAATTTTCTCATTGGTATCATTCAATAATTCTGTGAATTCTTCATACAGTGAAATAAATCAAGAACAGAATTGCTAGAGAATCCTTAGCAAGAGGTTAAGAAAATTTAAAAGGAAAACTCAGCAGTATCAGAAATCCTGTTCTTGTTTTAATTCAGCATTAGATTCCTGGACATTTCTGATCTGAATCAGTGTGTACATCTAGCAGCAACAGGCTTATAACATGCTGGAGTCAGCAGCTTCCTGGAGTTTCCTCTGGTTTGTAACACAATCATAGATTTTTGTTCATCAGTGCCTGAGTACTTTTCTCGCCTTTGAACTCTTCCTACTTAAAGAAATGACACGATAACTGTAATTCTCGGTATTACCATATTTAGTCACTGCTTTTAAAACTAAAAAACAAAGCAGTGTTGTGAAACCCATGTTTTTAAGAAAAACAGACTTGAGGATAAAGTGAATATTGATAGATCATATAGATTGGAAGAAATTAAGGACTGTCCCTCTTGCAGAGCAAAACAAAAATTGTACTCAACATGCATGTGGAAAGAGAAATCCAGAAAACATTACTTTTCCTCAGTAATCCCTGATGAATGTATTTGTCAAAAATCCAATAGTCTACACAGGTGTTATCTTTTACTTCTGGACACACTGAAATGTGTACGTATGTTTGTGTGATGTAAAAACTGTATCTTAACTTACCTTTTCTGCCTCCTCTAGGTTTTTTTTAGTATTATTCTAGATTGTATAAAAAGCATTAATGTACTTTAGACAAGTTGGTAATTCAGAGGTGCAGCTGTTTCCCCCCACTGTAGGAAGTAAAGGCTGCTCTTAACTCTCGTAACTGTAAACTTCCTTTAACTCTCACCTTCATTCTCTTTTTTTTTTTTTTTTTTTTTTTTAGTGGTCAGTTTGCTGTAGTGAAAAAATGCCGGGAGAAAAGCACTGGTCAGCAGTTTGCAGCAAAATTCATCAAGAAACGGAGAACAAAATCCAGCCGGCGCGGAGTGAGCCGGGAAGATATCGAGCGAGAAGTCAGCATACTAAAAGAGATTCAACATCCTAATGTGATTGCACTGCATGATGTTTATGAGAACAAAACAGAGGTCGTTCTTATTCTGGAACTGTAAGTAGCTCTAGAGACGTCGAGAAGGAGTAACAGAATATTTGTTTGCTTGTTTCAAAAAATGGCAGTGATTTAATGCACCCCAAAAGAAAATAGATATAGCCTGAGAATTCCTTATTTTTAAGTCAGAGTTGTAGCTTCTTGATTTCTACACATTTTTCACTGTAAATGACACTACAAAGGTTTTAAAAAAAAATCCAGCATATTTGGGAATTTTTCTGCTTGTTACGTTAATCATTGTTGATGTTATGGATCTAGAAGAATAGCATGGAGCCAAATAAACTGATTTGAAGATAAAAACAGAGAGAATTCGGGATTCTAATTGGAGGTTAGGTTAGCAAATTTTACCATGTTTTAAGTTGATGTAAAGTAAAGTAGGATCACTGAATGTTTTTTCTCTTTATTTTTAATCCACATAACAGAGAACAGAATTTTCACAGTTCTGTCCTGTTGAAATGTAAACTGAACTTTCACATCCTTGTTTTAGTTCCCATTTTTCATCCAAGGTTATTGCTAATGGATTGAGGTAAGTATGTCACCAGAGAATACTTCTGCATAGTTTCAACTCTGGCTTCAAGTTCCTCAAAACTGCAAGTTTAGCAGTTAAGCACTACTCACCCGTTACAGTTTGGCAGTGTCTGCTGGTAGGACTTACATGTCTTTACATAGTTTGCATGCCTGACACTGTATTATTGACATACTTGCTCTGTACCGCTTAAATGTGCTTTAGAATGAGTATTTTGTACAAGCAAATTATTTGGTACCAGAATCTTGAGCAGCACTTGGGCCTTTTCCTTGGCCGTTGGTGTGGGTTTTCTTATGTAGGTTATGTCTCCCTGTTTACTAGCTTTGGTAAATGGTATTTCCACTTAATTTATGAGGATACTTTAGTGTTGCATATTTTCTGTAATATATGTGTGGATTTACAGTATAGATTCAAAAAGAAAACTGGGAAGTAGCATTTGGAGTTTTGTCTTTTCTGTGGTATGTACACACATGATACTGCTTTTTTATGTTACAACATACTTTTACACTTCTAGTCCAGCATCTGATAGTTTAGTGTAATATTTGTTGTATTCTGGTTTGGTTTTTCAGTTCCAGAAGTGTACACTTGCATTAGCTTGTCAACTTTGGGTTATTTAAGCAAGCACTTTTTTTAAAGAGCTAAATTAATGTCCTGTATGATGTAATACTTTGTTGTATTCCTGTCAGAGTATCTGCTTCTCCTGGGTTTTGTTCAGAACTCTTTAAATGTTTCATGAATACACAGCAAAATTAGTGTGATGCTTCTTTCTCTCCTCACTTGATACTAGCTATCACATTCTTTCTGTCTATAGCCTTACTATCAGTGTATCACTGCTTCTGCGGTGCTTTCTTTCTTCTCTGTAATCTGTCCAGATGAAATCACGCCAGGGTCTGGATTTGAAAGGTCTGAGGAAGACTCGGGAATCATGGACAGTGGTAGGAGGAATGGGGCCGTTCTGACACACTCTCCTCTGCCCCTCGCCCCTTTCTACTTGAGATAGAAGCCGTTTTGGCAGCAAGGTTGCCTTCTGTGTCTGTGCGTGCACACTAACCTTCATTGAATGGAAGTATAGTGTGAAGCTCAGCAAGCTATTTCCATTTCAGTTTAGCAAATTGTTTTGCCTAGTTAACAATCCACATATAGGTTCAGTTGGAGGCTTTTCTTTCACTTTTCCAAACTGTTATGTGCGTCTTTCAAGTTGAAGCAGTGCTATTTAGGGTATCACAAAGGTAACGCATTTATTTAGTTAAAAGGGTCGAAGAAGAAAAGATGGCACATTAGCGATCCCTTTCTGCAGTGAACGTACTAAATGCTGTAAAGTTTTGTAATTCTCAAAATCACTGTGATACTGTGGAAAGCTATTGAAGGGGCAAAAGATTATTGTTTTAATCACAGGCTTAAACACTTAAATATGTAATCCCTTTTTTCTAATATTTGCATTTTGCCTAAGGACCTACTCCCCGACATTAGTTGTTCTTTCAGGACGATTTCAAACAAATGGAAATAAAGCAGACAGCTTGGTAAATAACCTGTTTTGCTGTCCTCAGAATCAATCCTAAGTGAGCATTTTCCTTTTTGATTATAACATCGCTTTTTTCCTGGGACTGTGTGTTACTTTACGACTACAGGATGAGACCATGTGCCACATACAGACAGGATTTTGTGTAACTTCCATTATCCGGAATGTAGAGAGAAACTAAAAAAATCAACATTCCAGCTATGTATGAGAAATTCATAACAAAACAAAAGCCCAGAAGAAACACTGATTTCATATCAGTAAGCAAGTGTAGTAGCACAAGCAGCAGTGAGGAAAAATATCTCTGGCTTCTGTTTTTGGTGGAAGCTGCAGCCCACAGGCGTCAAGCCACCGCAGCTGCCCTTTTGGTGGCTGCAAGATGTTTACATGCACAGTCTCAGGGCAACAGCGTCTGTTGCCTGTTCACTATTCATTTTTATGTCCTGGTTCAGCATGAGGTTTGCAGTAATGCATGCAGCCTCCTAAACACTTTTCTCCATTATCAATCAGCTCTTTCTGAGAGGTTAGCGAAGGGTTGTAGAAGTTCTCACTTCATTCCCCCGCAGCAAATACTGTGTCAGCCGGCAAAGTATTCAAGGTGGTGATTTGTATGCAGAAATATGTGGGCAGTTAGTTACTTATTGCAGTGGCAAGGTCCTCACAACACTGAATGCAAAACAGAACTGCATATCAAAAATTTCCACATAAGTGTTTGAAAGGTTTTCTCTCAACCACCTTATGTCAGGAAACTGACCTTTCAAAAAAAAAAAAAAAGACCAAAAAGCCCCACCCAACCACAAAAAATTTAATTACTGAA